ACGCATTCATTCATTTTCTGTGCTGGTGATTCTGTTCAGACTCAACGGCAACTACAGCCTATCTCAACATGCATTAGGGTTGAGGCAACATACACCCTGAACAGACAGGAATGGTCAAACAAATTTACATCTGATTCTCCTAACTTGCACATCTTTGGATTGTAGGAGGAAACACACACAGACCCCAGGAGAACATGTAAACTCCAACCAGGTTATGTTTAACCTTTTTGCTGTGAAGTGTTAATACTAACCACTTCCACGTACTCTTTCAGTGTTGTGCTGTTCAGTACCTTTTTTCAGATGCAGAATACCTCCCTGGACTGGTCATGTCTTAGGCTTTGGTGATTACTTATTGATATTTCTTGTCCTCTGCTTTATATTATTTAAAAGATGGATTCATGAAATAGATGGAACTAATGTAGCTGAACTGATGCATGCGGACAATCTCCATATACAAGCCTCACAACTTGCCTACTTTACTGCTAGCTGCTGAGTTAACTTTAGCTTCACGAAGTGGATTTTGTTTAGCATTATACATTTTTATTGAGTTATGCTTTCTGGTTCTATGCATGAAATATGTAAGACAATATAATATATAACTGGGGGGTTTAATAGAAAGGGATACACTGCTTTGCTTCATGTCCCTCTTTTATATTATTTCTGTGCATATCTATACATTTATTCCTTTTTTATGAAAGACACCTGGATGTTATCTTCCATCACAGGGATTTTACACCACAGCGATAGCGGAAATGTAAATATATCTGCAGTTGTTTAAATCCCCCCCCCCCCCATTACCTGTCTGTTGTTACTGTTCCACCCTCCTCCTCTCTTTATTAGTGCCGATTAAGTTTTCATGCAGTGTTTCCACCCAAATCCCCCAATAACTAAACAGTTCACATGCATCGTCCACCAAAATACACGAATGGAGAGATGGGAAATCACTGATCTACCATGAACTTTGAGAACATCAGTAATTTCCCCATCTATAAGATCAATACAGTGATTGCACATGACAAAGTAAAACTCACCTGCCTGCCAGTGGTCGGCAATGTCCCACAACTTTACAGTCAGAGGCTCAATGGCTCTGTCAAGCAGTGACGGCTCCAAGAGCAAATTAATGCAAGTTGTTGATAACCTGCAGAACAGGGGCTTTGATATTGAATTGTTTCGACATTAAATGTTAGTCCTCTAACAAGTGTAGTGTTAGGCTTTATGTCACATTATGCTTGAGGCATAATGTGACATAAAACCTTTAGGTTTTGTGACAAGGGACTCTTGATCTCAATAAGTTCCATAAAGCTGAATCAAACGTGGGGCTGACTGATACTGAAAATCAGTGGTGCTGGGCTACACGTGAAAGCAGGTCCGACGGGGCATTTAGGAAACTCAGATTTTCTTGTGTGAATTAGCTACTTTTAAACAATTGAGTATAAGGCACGCCTTAAAACACACTTTGCTATGTCACATCCTGACACTGTCAAACAAACCACTGCTGTTTAGAGATCAAAGTGTTTTTCATTACAATACAACAAGGTAATGCAAAATAACAAAAAAACCCATACACAAACCACAGTAGGTTATAATCCATAAAAATGTATTTTGTAAATTCAATAATGTTTTAGTTTATCAGTCATAATCTGAGCTGGAGATCTGGAGATGGTGTGATGTAGAGATGTAATCTTCAGTACATTAAACTTTTATGGAACACGCTATGAAAATGATGCATAGCAATAAGGTCAAAAGAAATACATGCAACACATGTTAAATGAAAGACTGGCCATTCTGTTTCAAGTTTTCAATAAATTCCCTTTGAAGTGTCGAAATCAACTATTATTGCTACAACCTAGGGAAACTGTCAGTGAGATTCTGAAGTTATTGCAGTCAGTTTAAGGATAATCTGCTATCGAACATGTTTAAGCTGTATGAATAGGCAATATCATGATACATAAAAATGGAAAACCTGGAAAGAATTGGCCCGAAGTTGAAAAAGTAAGATTCACACCTCAGAGACTGTTTAAAACTAAAGAAACAAGAAAGGGTGAAAAGGCTGATTATACGTTCTTAAATGGGAATCGGATGGATGTCTGATAGATGTAAGTCACTGAACCTCTGCAATGAACTATCTCTGTTGGTGTGCAAATATTTTGTGGCTCTCAGGTTGGCAGTGTTGAAATGGGGTGCAGATATCATGTTTTTGTTGGGTTTTTTTTAAGTGACATCTCAACACATATTTGTTAGTTTATAATGGAATTGGTTCAGACGGTCACTGTTCCCGTCAGGAAGAATTGTAATGACTTTGTTCATTCCCTGACTTTTCAACTAGCACCATCATGACAAAACCAGTACTTTGGTTTAAACGTTAGCAGGCTAACATGCAAAACTAAGATGGTTCATTTTATACTTGCTGAACATCAGCATGCATTTTATCATTCAATCATTGTGAGCCTGTTAGCCAGCTGATGTTAGCATTTGGCCCAAAGCAACGCTGTGCCCAAGTACAGCCTCATAGAACTGAAAGCATTGCTGCAGACTCTTTGTCTTGCTACCTCCACTGATCTTGAATGTCACCTTTTAATGGGGTGTTATTTTCAGCGTCTGATAGGTCCTACGCTTTAATTCTAGTTTTCTTTATAAAAGATATTTTGGTCATTCTCAGCTCATTGAGCTATTGTTTCACATTTTCTTTTAAGGCTTGTTGTATAATTTAATGTGTTTATACAGTATATCTTCCTCTGGATCTATTCAATTTTGAAGGATGCTTGATTGTTTTATGTTATCACAATATAGATTGCTGGAGCTGTATCACTAACTTTTGTAATACAATTTATTAAATAATTAAGCTGCACACAACATACAGTTGGTTTGTGCTCCCATTCCATAAAATTCCAACATGTGAATAGGGAGCCATTTAATGATAGTCTTTAGTGGCTCCTAATCCATTCCACACTGTATAGATCAGCATGCATGCTGTAAATTAAGAACATTTCTCAAAAAGCCCTGGTCATTTTAGGATGGTTCTTTTGTTAGGCAGTAAATGCATTGGTTTACCATAAAAAAAAAATAATAATAATAATAGTGTGGTGCAGAGAAAAACAGGATGAAGATGACATACAGTCAGGAGAAAAAATAAAATAAAATAAAAATCAGCTACACAATATGTATTTGGCTATGGGCACAGCATTGGTTTAATGAAATACATATAGAAGAAAAAAACATTAGTCAGTCATTTACACACTGAGGCCGGATTAATTTCTGATATCATAAGGGGCTGTTCAGTCTAAAGTGGGTAGAATATTGCCACAGCAAAGACTGCTCGAACCTGAATAGATTGTTCTAATATGTCTGCGTACAGCTGTATCAAACAGAAAGATGGATTTGAAAATGCAAAACACTTCAGGAGTTGCAGATATGAATACCTGGCATGTCTCGTGACAAGGGCGAAATCTGAGTGAGTGAGTGAAATAGTAAGTGTCTGCGTGTGTGTTATCCAGAATCACCAATGTGAAGCAGTTAACCCAAAGAGAGAAACCAACTAGTGATAGGCCTATGGAGACTGGCTGCTTCTACAAACTCATGGACAAACTCTCAAATAATGAACTTAAATGCAACATGCTGCCAACAATATTGTTATGAGAGTTTTGTTTGAGTAATACATTGTTTCGGCGCTCACCTCAGACCAGCATCTTGTCAGTCCACTTTCTACTGCCTCTTTTGCCTCAAAGGGTCTATCTACAATCTCAGACTACACGGCCAGAATGTATGTGTGCACACTTACACACACACGCGGAGTATCTTCTTTTGTTACACCATTATGCTTAGAAAAATGAATGCTGCCTCCACCTGACTGAGTGTAATTAAAAACAGAAAGTGTTTGCCCCATGGCAATTACATGCATGCCTGTGACTTGAGTTTTGTCTTCTTCAAAGTCATGAATAAAAATTAAAAGGAAGTCATTGCAGCCGGTCGTAAAATAGTCCAACACACCCTGCAAAACCACAAGTTTTTGTTTTAAAATTAATTTTTTTGTACGGATTAAACAAAAAAATTAATAAAAAAAATAAAGATATGTCTTACTTAACACTGTAAACCCGGATAAGTTCAGAATACTCAAAATATTTGTGGAAACTGATTACCTCAAACTTTTATAGTGGTAATATAATTTGACTAAACACATTTAATTTCTGCATACTAAATTACAGTGATTCACTGATGCTTATTAAAATTGAATTCCACTTATTCTTTACTCAAATAATTGTGCACAACTTGTACTGAGAGAAATCGACTCAAAAAAAAAAAAAAAAGTAATTGTGCTAGACTCAAATACTAATGGAAACTCACTCGACAAAAACTACTAGTAAACTTACAATGTACAAAATGCCCATTTTCAGATAGGAGTCCTCAAAAATACAAATACAACTCCATTATTACAATTCAAGTTCTCTTTATTATCTTCTCACATCTTCCATCATTTCTACATTTAACAGACAAAATAAGGCACATCTTCAACAAAGCTGAATAGACCAAGTAATTAACTGCTTGATCAGATATTAACCAGCAACAATTATTATAATCAATTTGTTTTCCTCCTTTTTTGCAGTAATGTTGAACATTCTCTATTTTCAGAATCTTAATGAGATTTTTTGGGGTCATGTGATAACTTGAATCTCTTGAGCTAAATAAAACTTCCTTTTACTACTTACTTTACTGTGTTTTGTGGAAAGAGTGATTCTGCATAATTTTATTCCACCAGCAGCACTTTTATTTAAATAATATAAAAGGGAGCTTTAAATGTGGAGTTTTATGGAATCATAAGCAAATAAAGATGGCTAATAAAGATTGTTTAAAATAAGAAGTTCCACACTATGCAAACTGTTAAGTCAGGTAGACGAGGTAATGGAACAATAAAGGTTTCTGCAGACTTTGACATGGTCTTTAAAAGTAAGGAATAATAAAATAAATTAAAAATAAATAAAATAAAGAGTTCTGTGTCTTTTTGGTGACTTTATAAAACATATCCTACTGCTGATGGATAAACTCAGGGGAGCAGACAGAGAGGCGGGGAAAGACTGTGTATTTTCAATGAGAGACCAGAGGTAAAGGTGTGTGTGTGTGATTGAGTACAGGGAGAAGTCGAGGCAGGCGCAAAGCAGGTACATTTACAAATAATTAGTATAGAGAATAATAAGTGATGTCACCCAGTGAGTGAGTGAGTGAGTGAGTGAGTGAGTGAGTGCCTCCCTCATCTTGTGGACCTCTTCACAGCTGGCCTGAACGGCCAGTTCAGAAGTGCTTTCAGGAGTTTGTACATAAGTTACATTAACATTTAACTGATGCTTTTAGTCAAACATACTTACAATAACTATATGTGTAAGAGGTCGCACGCCCCTGAAGGAACTAGGGCTAAAGTGTTCTGCTCAGAGACACATTGGTGGATGTGTCACAATGGGGAATTAAACCCGGGTCTCTCACACAAAAGGCATGCGTCTTATCCACTGTACCATCACCACCCTCAGAGAAATCGACAAATCTATCCACAGCCACCTTTCACTTCGGCTGAAGCGGACTGCACCAGGTCAGTGTACACAGTGAGGAGTGTCAACAGTGTCTGGTTCACCTTTGCACTGCAAAATACAAACAATCCAATTATGAGGACAATTATAAAAGAAAGCTAGCACTGCATGCTCATCAGTGCCCCCCCCCCCACACACTCACACACTTAATAGCATATTTTATTATTTTTTCAAAGCCTGTCTTGATACAATACTCACATGCCAAAATGTTAAGTTACTGGTGGCTGTTCTGTCTATACTGACTAACGCTTTCTTAATCTGACTCAACTTTAAGAGAACGAGGAAAAAATTCTGAAGTTCATTAGAAGATATGAGACTTCAGCAGTTTGACTTAGACAAGCCACAAAACATATCAATTTTAGAAGTTAGCCTTTATGTGTTTACTTGCTGAGCTGCATCAGTGGGATACTTCCTTCCAAACAGTAAACCTACACAATGACCTAACAACAATATCCATTTAATTTTTTTTAACTAGACTGCTTAAGCCTTATTTAGCTTCAGCTAAACTTAGCCTCATAAAATCTTGTGTCCTCATACGGGGAATTTAGGTTTTGAGATCCATGCACCATATACTTTATTCTGCTCAACTTAGACCTATAGTTCTCCTTAGTGGGCACATGCCAGCCACGTTCTGAAGTCTGTTTCTTTGTTACACATTGGGTACTCATACTCATTTTTTCTAAAAGTATGCCCTGTTCAAAAACAATGCTACTAATATAAATACACAGAATCAAACCCCAGTGGTCTGTACTACGAAGAGAGTTCAACCTACTCAGAGTTAACTCGGGGTTATCAGGAAAGCTCTGACTGCCACACTGGAGTTAAACGGTACTACGAAGATGGATACGATGTTTAGTTCAGTCGGTGTTAACCCAGTGTTAACTTAATTGGAGTTGGTGCGCGTTCGCATCAAAGGGGTGTGTTCGGCCGTACAGGCAGAGTTTTTTTCGCAACGACGCATGCTCCGTATTTCTCTAGAGGAATGCACGTTGGCAGTGTCAGGAAATTATGAATGTAAAGACAAGTTAACGGCTTAATATCGTGGCGGACGACAAAGCCAGGGAGGCTTGTTGGCATCGCATTGAGTAAATTTGTAGCCCAATTATCTAGGTACATTAGGTACACCTGCACATAAGGTCCAATGTAATAAAAATTTTTTTTTTAAAAATCCGTAAAAAGTAATAATCCGAGACAGAATTTAATTTCCAAGATTAATCTACAAGTAAAAGACTTGAATATTCTCTGACATTATAGTCACAGATTTATGAGAGAAACTTCACTTTGCAAGGATGCAACATCACACACACCAACTTATATCCAACTTTACTGCTGCTTCAAGCCGTCAGAGATCTGGAAGTTAAACTCCTTGCTCCATTGTCTTGTGGAAATTAAAAAATGGCTAAGTGAAAACTCCCTGCAGCTAAATGCAGACAAAACAGAAACATTAATCATTGCCCCTGAGGATGCAATTCCAGGAATTAAACAATACTTGGGTGATTTAGGCCAGTCTGCTAAGCAAAGTCTTAGAAATTTGGGAGTTGTCCTGGACAAAGACATGTCGTTAGTGCAGCACTGCAAGCAGCTGACGAGAAACTGCTTCTTTCAATTAAGGAAAATCTCAAAACTTAGAAATATAGTTTCAAGAAATGATTTGGAGCTAATCATTCACGCCTTTGTGTCGTCGCGGTTAGACTATTGTAATAGTTTATTTTTATGCCTAAACCAGAAGGAGCTCTCTCGACTGCAATTAGTACAAAACTCTGCAGCCAGAATTTTAACACGTACTAATAGGAGGTCTCACATATCACCAATCCTAAAAGAACTTCATTGGCTACCAGTGTCTTATAGGATAAATTTTAAAATTTTGGTTTTAGTTTTCAGAGCTTTACATGGCCAGGCTCCACCCTATATTAGTGACCTGATTCAGCGTTATACCCCTGTGCGTGCTCTGAGGTCTGTGGATCAGAACCTGCTGACGGTTCCACGCACTCGCTACCGTACTAGAGGTGACCGATCTTTTCAGGCTGTTGCCCCTAGGTTGTGGAATGACCTTCCACCATCTATGCGCTCTTCTGATTCTGTTGATGCCTTCAAATGCAGACTAAAGATTTCACATTTATTTCTTCAGGCTTTCAATTAGCTACTTGTGGGTATTTACACTCCGAGGTCCTCCCGGTGGAGGAAAGCAGACCAGTTGCTGTTGTGTTTCGGGTCTCCCAAGGCTGGGCTCCCCGCTTCTGAACACACGATCAGCAAAAGCATACAGGCGCAGCATTGGCCACGTCCGTACCATGGCATCCAGCCCTAGCGGGGCTGGGGGCGAAAGGGAGAACCACAGGGGACAGTGCGAAGTCTCTCGAGATGCAAACAAGTCCACGTTATGGGTCCGAACCTGTCGCATAATAACTCCAACACCTGGGGGTGGAGTCTCCATTCCCCGGGCCTCAGCCCCCGTCTCGACAGCAGGTCTGCTCCCTGGTTCTGGGTCCCAGGACCAGGGATGTATCCTTATGTATTCTTTCATCTCTTTAAACCTGTCAGTTGCTAGAAGAGGTATTTGAGTTGGTTTTCCATATTACATTTCATCTTACTTGTCGTTGATAGACATTTCTGTGAGTACACTGAGTAGGCCTACTTACATTGCAGGTTTTGAAGACGTCAGTCATCTGCTAGCAGGTTCACTTGGAGGCCACGGAGGGTGGCATCCCATGTGTACCTCATATTGTTCCTAGACTGACAATCAAAATAATAATTATTATACAGATATTTTACAGCACATCAAGCCATAAAGTGTAACAGTTCTACCAATGTAATTCTAAAATAATAATAATAATAATAATAATAATAATAATAATAACAACAACAACAACAACAACTCCATCCAGCTGCAACTACTAAAGACAAGTCAAATTTAAACAAACACAGTGACTCAAACAAAAGAAGAAATAGAAGCCAACTATAACCTTAAACATCACAATAGAAAGAAGAGATGTGGAAGCCAGTGCAGTAGGGCTGGACCCAAATATTTGACTATTCCTTCATTGGGTTGGTATGCGGTTTTCAATTTTGGGATGCGGAGATTTGCACAAGCGCCTACAGTTCTGTCCCGCACAATGCTGCACACACACCAGCTTGCACCGCCCTTTTCAGTTTCTTTCTTGCTGTATCATACAGTGACACACACATACAGGCTGCTATCTGTCTGCTTTCAACTTTCATTGTCAGCCGTACGTTTTACTGCCCAAAAAACACGTTTTGAACTTTTTCATCCACGATTCTTTGGGAACAACCGCAGGTGTGCTGCTTGTGGAGAAGGCTTATAGTCTCTCTCTGTTTGCTTGCAACTGGCAGTAGACCGTATGGCGACCAATCATGGATGGAGTTGGTCTCTTAGACGGATAGAAAAATAAAAAGTCATGCTCAGCACATAAAATCTGAGCGAAATTGTTGATTTTCTGTCTTGGTTTATGTGTTCAGGGCAGCCCAAGAATTTAAAAATAAGATTGTAAATGGATTTTAAAGTGATTATGTACCAGAAAACGTACAAAAATGAATGCAAATGAGAAATGACAATTGAAAATAAATGGCTCTATCCATCACAAGACAATATCATAATCAAATTTCACTATTATAGTACAGAGGTCCCAATCTGTATTGACTGACCATTATGTGATCAACATTGTTGCTACGGCAAAGGCAATCTTAAACTCACTTGAAGGTCATAAATCCGGAGGATCTCTGCAGGGCGTCTGCTCTCTTGGCCTTCTGCCTGTACAGGGCAATCAGTTGTGGTGTGTATCTCTCAAGCTCCAGTAGAATTGGTTGCATAGGTTCAACATTTGTAAACACATAAATGTATGCAGATTAATGGTTTCCAACTTGGGCCTCAACAGAAAAACATAATGAATCAATTACTTGTTTTAAGCAGGATGGCTGACAAAAAGAATATAGTTTTTACCACTGCATTGACAAGAAAAGAAAATGTAGGGTCATCCTGCAATTTTTTTTTTAACTAACTTGTTCTTTAACCTAACATTTTGCTGCATCAAAGTGAAATATTATGTGGCTATGAATTGAGCTGTGGGCCACCTTGACACCGCTACTCACACCAGTGCGCAGCCACCTAAACACAGCAGAATACACACATCAAACACCACACAATAAAACTAAGTTAAGCATGCGCACACAGCTGTCATACACACCACCACATGCAGTGAAGGGGAAAGGGGTTCTCAAAATCCTCCACCCTGTCTGTCTGGCACAACACTTAAAAGAAGGGGAAATAATGGCCAACAAGCTGAGGGAACTCACACAGCCAAAACAGAGAAAACGGCCACACCCTCAGCAGACCTTAGCAGTTGGCAAAAACATTCACAGGGGCCCATTCACCTATAACAAATCTAATAAAATAAGATTCCACATTAAAAAAAAAAAATAAAAAAAAAATAGCAGTTGATCAGGCAGGCAAAACAGCAGTGGCTATACAACCCTAAAATTACAAGAATTTAATTAGTTCAGTTATTTAACACATACTACAAAAACATACCTGCTAAATACCTGACAAATGATATTTACCTCAAACAATGCAGTAAATAGTCAGCCCAGCTTTGACACCACCTCATTTACGGATCAGACGTTTAGGCCTACTGCAATGTAAATCATGTTATCAAAGGCACACAAACTACTAAACTTGCATAGCTCTACTAGATAGCATATTTGTATCTCAGGGTTATCAACCACCAATGCCTTATCTGCGGTGAACTTTAACACAACAGGCTCTTCAGCCGACAAGGTCTGGACAACAGGTGGCTTAAAATGCCTGTGATGAAAACAAATTAAAACATTGTCAGCCTTGACATGACTTCTACAAGACATACCTGCTCTCTAGCCACACTGGAACACAATGCCTACAGAGAGATCCTGAGTGTTCGCTATAAATCAACTCTTAAGGAGGCAAAGGTGTGTGCCTGCTTCTGGAGAGACAGGGGGTGGAGCTTTATTGAGAGGCTGCAACAGACCATGGCCTTACTAGGCTGAAAGCCTGCCTATTACATACATATTCATTATAAAATCTCACAGTCACAGCTGGACTAATGAACTTTTCTAAAACAGTACAATATCCCCCCTGCATCTCAAATCTTAAATAAAAACTGAACATTCCTCACCAACTTTCATTACCACAGTGGAAAATTTTTCCTTTACAAATACATAGTACAGCCACTTCAGATGAGGCAACTTGTGTCTGCAATTGAAGGGCTGAGGGGTTTATTAGGTTCACTGCTGATAAAATGAAACATTCAGCCATACATCAACACTATTTAAGGATACAATCTTACCCGAAATGTCTTTGAAGCTTGAGGAAACTCATTTGAGTGAAGTGTAGGACTAAATCTCAAGTATCAGTCTTAGTACTGATTCACGACACTTTGCTGTGCCTCAAAAAGGATTTTGGATGACGATGTAGCCAAGGACCAATCACATCAAAGAGATTTCCTTATTTAAGAATATTCTCAGATAAATTCACATTGAATGGTGAAACTCCTAAGAGGAGTTTATATTCAACACACATTTAACAATAAAGAATTTTCAAGATAATACATCATAATATAGGCCTACACATTAATAAATGACTACTGGCAACTCCTAACCACTTGAGAGATCTCTAGATGTCTTTTGGGAATTTTGCTTCTTTTGAATATGTGGCTCTTCAGCTGAATTCCTCTTCTCAAGCTATTTTTCTAAATATCTACAGGCCCCCTAAATACTGTGCAAACTTTTTTGATGACTTTGGTGAACTGCTGTCTATAATCTGTATCGACTTTGACTGTGTGGTTATTGTTGGTGATTTTAACATCCATGTTGTCAACCCCCAGGACAGAGGGACTAAAGAACTGTGTTGTGTTCTTGATAATTATGGACTGACCCAACATGTGACGGAGCGCACACACAATAAGGGGCACACTTTGGACTTAGTCATCTCCAAGGGTCTGGACATTTCCAAGGTTGTGGTGACTGATGTTGCTCTCTCTGATCATTCCTGTGTTTTCTTTGAGAGTGCTGTCTGTGTGCACACAAATGTACAAACAGAGGTAATCACAAAACGGCATATCACTGAAAACACTAGTGAAACATTTATTGAGGCTTTCTCCTCGACACCCACCCTCTCACGGGTCTCAGTCAATGAGCTTGTAGATAATTTCAGAAAAAAATCTTCAGGTTCATTATGACATCTATAAAGAGAGACTTCGCATTTATAATTTAGAACTGAGAAATGCAAGGCGGGCCTTCTTCTCTGACATCATCACCAAAAACACTAATAATGCACATGCCCTGTTTGCTACTGTCGACAGGCTAACCAACCCTCCTGTGTCTGTAGCCTCTGAACTTCTATCCACCAGGGCCTGCAATGAATTTGCCTCCTTCTTCACAGGCAAAATTTAAACAATTAGACAAGCAATCAGTGCCTCCATGTAAGTAACAGGGTATGTCTTGTCCCTGTGTCCACTTAAAAACAATTCATATAGCATGAAACAATTTGATTCTATTAACCATAAAAACCTGGAGGACATAATACAACATCTGAAATCCTCTTTATGTTGCCTTGATATTCTGCCAACAGGTTTTTTCAAAAATGTTTGTAAATGCATGGCCTCAGATCTACTACAAATTGTCAACATGTCTCTCCTCTCCGTTTTTTCCCCCACAGGCCCTGAAAACTGCAGTCATTAAGCCACTCTTAAAAAAGAGCAATCTAGACAGGTCACTAATGAGCAATTATAGGCCAATATCAAATCTCCCATTTTTAAGTAAAATCATTGAAAAGGCTGTTTTTCAACAGCTTAGTGCTTTCTTGGCACTAAATAACTGTTTTGATGTCTTTAGGTCAGGTTTTCAACCACACCACAGCACTGAGACAGCTCTTGTTAAGGTCTTCAATGACATCCATTTAAACACTGACAGTAGCAGAATTTCAGTCTTAATATTACTGGATCTCAGTGCTGCATTCAACACGGTCGACCACAACATATTACTAGACAGACTTGAAAACTGGGTTGGACTTTCTGGCACAGTACTAAAATGGTTTGAATCCAACTTAAAGGACAGGGACTACTTTGTGTCTATAGGTAATCACACATCTGAGCTAGCAAAAATGATATGTGGAGTTTCCCAAGGCTCCATTCTGGCCTCTTTTGTTTAACATTTACATGCTTCCACTGGCTCAGATTATGAAAAACAACAAAATATGTTACCATAATTATGCAGATGACACACAGATGTACATAACCATTTCACAAGGGGACTATGATCCCATACAGGTGCTGAGTAACTGTATTGAGCAGGTCAACGGCTGGATGTGCCAGAATTTTCTTCAATTGAACAAATATAAAACTGAAGTTATTGTTTTTGGAACCAGGGAGGAACGATTGAAAGTCAGCGCTTGACTTCACTCTGTAATGTTAAGAACCACAAATCAAGCCAGAAAGCTTGGTGTAGTCATGGACTCAGACCTGATTCTGAGGAGCCACATTAAGACAATTACATAGTCAGCCTACTATCACCTGAAGAATATATCAAGGATTAAAAGACTTATGTCTCAACAAGACCTGGAAAAACTTATCCATGCATTTATCTTCAGTCGACTCGACTACTGTAACAGTGTCCTTACAGGGCTCCCTAAGAACTCCATCAGTCAGCTGAAGCTGATTGAGAACGCTGCTGCTCGAGTCCTCACTAAGACAAAAAAGGTGGATCACATCACTCCACTTCCGAGGTCTTTACATTGGCTTCCTGTATGTCAAAGAATTGATTTAAAAAATTCTGCTGTTAGTTTATAAAGTAGTAAATGGTTTAGGGCCAAAATACATTTCTGATCTTCTGCTTCATTACAAACCATCCAGACCTCTCAGGTCGTCTGGGGCAGGTTTGCTTTCTGTCCCTAGAGTCAAATCTAAACAAGGAGAGCGTTCAGTTATTATGCTCCGTATATCTGGAACAAACTCCCAGATAACTGCAGGTCTGCTGAAACTGTCAGTTCTTTTAAATTAAGATTTTTACCATTGCTTTCTTTGTTTTTAGCTTTTTACCATTGCTTTTAATTAAATATTTACATGGAGAGAAATGAGTAGGTAATTGAGTGAAAAGATAATGAGAGTGAGATTGAACAGAGTGAAGGAAGTGGTCTTAAATCTCGCACCTGAGGGATTTGCGTGAACCTCTGTCCACCTGTAAACGTGCAAGTGGGTCCAGAATATAACTGGATCAAAGTGGCCTGTGAACAGACATGTCCTGGTTTCTCTGTAGTGTCCGAGGGTTTTTGGAGTTTCAGTGGACCCAAAGATTACTATGGACCCGAGTACAGACTAGCTAGAGAGAGTAGATTAAGTGTACTTCTCTGTTTATTCTCTTTTCAAAATAATTGTAACTCAGTTATTTGCTCAACCCCTCACTCAGTCAGTTTTTATTTTCCATTTAACTAGTTTAACCCTGATTGTACACTGCACTGTAACTTTTATTATATTTTAAAGTGTATATATCCCTATGTTGCTTTTAAACTTTTTTATATTTCCCTGTTGCTTTTATGTTTTATGTAAAGCACTTTGAATTACCTTGTTGTTGAAATGTGCTATACAGATAAACTTGCCTTGCCTTGCCTATAGGTGGTGGTCTTGACAAACTATTGTTTCTTTTAGGTGATGGGTATTAAATGAGCCCCAGGGCTAAATTATTAAAGATTGTAATGTTGGTATTGATAATGTTATTGAGTGTTGTTAGTTTGATGTAATGCTGCAGCATCTGCCTCATACACACCAAGCAAAGTCAGCAGACCTTGGTGCTGAAAGGGCGGTGGGACCAGTAAAGTGAACCAGGTGGAGTGTATTCCACTTATATTACATCTAGTCATTTAACTCATGCTTTTATCCAAAGAGACTTACACTTGCTATATATGTTAAAGGAGGCATGCCTCTGGAACAACTAGGAGTTAAGTGTCTTGCTCAGTGACACAGTGATGGATGTCTCTCAGTTGAAATCGAATGCAGGTCTCTCACACCAAAGGCATGTGTCTTATCCACTGCTCCACAACCAAAAAGTATGCTCATTACTGCATGTAGACTTATTTAGCAAGTTAAGCTTTTGGGTGTAGTTTAATCAAAATCTTACTCGTTATTCACAGATGTGGTAATAACTATGTTCCAAAAAATGTGGAATTTCATGTCTCTTGCAAAACTTTTACATTTTCCAGCCTACGAAAGCATGTTTTAATCCCTACAGATGTTATTTTTATTTCTAAATGTACCTGCTTTGCACCTGCCTTGACTTCTCCCTGCACTCACTCACATACCTCTGGTCTCTCACTGCAAACACACCGGCTTTCCCCGCCTCTCTCTCTCCCTGTCTGTCTCTGAGTTTCTCCATAAGCAGTAGGTTATATTTTATAAAGTTGCAGAAAAGACACAGAACTCGTAATTTTTCTGTATTTCCACCCGTGAACCTTTTTCACGGCAGCAAGTGCACCGAATGCCAGCTCTTAATTACATAGCCTATCAGTGTCATCGTCCATCCCAGTGATTCATTGTTGACATCGTCCAATGCCAGAGTGTGAGTGTGTTCTCTAAATTAAATGGAGTTTGGTACAAACAGTAACTGCATTAGTGTAAAGGGCCGACCAGAATCTCGGTAACGACTCAGGGCTAGTTGGTGAACTTATTTAACTGGCGAGCTAAATAATGGCTAACATGCTAATCAGTTTGGCTAGTGCTAAGTAGGGATGGGGATTGAGACCAAAATTTCTCAATCCCCGAAAATCAATAAGGT